TTTACATTAATATCTTCATCATCAAGATCACTTGTTATTGAACATTCTTTATCTTTTTCTTCGTCTTCCTCAATATCCGATTGTAAATGTTCAAGTTCTTCATCATCAATAATATCTAATGGAGATTTATTGTTATGTGTTTTCTTTTTAGATTTTTTTGATTTAAATTGTGGTTCATCTAAATATCAGAGACATATTTCAGAGAATAAATAACATAAGTTGTAATTCTAAACAATATTATGAATTACAAGATTTTTCATTATTTAAAATACTTTCAGAGTGAGTGAAAATAATGATAATGAAAAGCTCAGTCTTCATTGTTACACGTTTTGATATGTATGAATGAATGAAAGTGATTAATTACTGCGAAGGATAATAAAAAAAAAAAAAGTTGACTTTGCTTACTATAGCATCATAGAAAAAAAAAATGCTTTCTATATAAATAAATTATAACCTTGCAGTTTAATAATGTATAATTACTTCTTAGTTTCTCATATGAATTATGTCTCAGATAGAAATAAAGCTCTCTTATCAATGATTTATTATTTATTAAGAAAAAATGTTTTTTCTGACATCTTATAGTATCAATATGTGTATTATGAAAGAGTCTAAAATATATATAACATACAATGGGGAAGTAATGAGAAAAAATATCGACCTTTATTTCTTTTTATAAACATATGTGCTGGAAGAAAAATATTTTTCTTGTTCGAACACAATTGCTTATGATTTATTTTTATCGTACATTTGTAAATAAAATAAAGTGAGAACAAATAATACAAAAAAAAAATACTTGCACAATAAATGTCCGATATTTATATAGATTCGTTAAAATGACCTTGTAAAACAATAATTATTTATAAAATGTTTTTATAGAGTTTATATCAAACAAAATGGAGAATTTATTGTGCAATTATTTTGTTCTTTTCTTATTTCAAATTATTTATAAATATATGAGAAATAGAAATGCGTAGAAGACTCTCTAATCTTGGTTATTAAATCGACTAGATCTGAAAAAAATATTCAATTACTCGACTTTTAATTAGTAGAGCTTTGATGTTGAGTCTTCTTTTTTTTCATAAAATATATTTGTTTCTTGAACTAAGATTAGGAAGCTCTACACTCATCACTCAAGACAAATATAACTTCATATATAGTCGATTCGAATGCGAAAGATTTCCTTTCAGCACGTATTTATATCCGGATGGGTATTTTGTTGTATTAATTTTATATTCTATATTTTCTGTCATGCTATAGAGGAAAGTTTCAACTTGCAGAGAATACTATCTAATTTCAAATGAAGCCAAGATGAAAAAAAAAATGTCATGATATACCGATGTATTCAATATAGAGTTTTGACTGTGCTCTTCTATATAATACTTATACGTATTTAAAATTATATGCAAAATTTCAGATTTAGAAGTCTATAATTTTTATATCTCATTCGGATACAATAATTGCAAGAAAAATCATGTTCATTTAGTATGAGTATGAGAGAACTTAAAACTTTCTGAATGTATACAAATCAATTTGTTTCATTATTTTCAACCGATTTCTTTTCTACATTCAAGATATAACGGAAGAAACTTTTAATGCTATTTTAGTAATAGTTGAAGTTGATTCTCATCGAACATGCAAATAAATACAGAACATTTTGACAAATTATTTCGTCAATGGTAGAGAAACCAGCGGAAGAAACTTTTTCACCTTCTAAATCTCAATGACTGAAACGTAACTAACTGTACAAAGTACAGTAACCGACTTATTGCATTTCACTCGCTTAGTTTCCATAACAAAAAGGGTGTGGATGTGGGTGTGGTTATAGATGTTTCTTACTGAGACACACCCTCAATCAAAATACAGAACTGCATTACTCATTAGGGACAATACTGTCGAGAAACAAAAAAACAAACTTTTGGACGTTCCATCTGTCGTATTCGAAATAAATTTTACCATCATTTTCTATTTGTGTTTTCATAGGAAATTTCTTTTTCAATTGATGACATAATGTTTTAACTTCTTGTTGACCAGTAACAAAAATAAGAATACCACCGGATGGTAATTGTCGATGAATTTTACAAACTTTTTTATAAACTTCATTAAGATAATTTTTTGGTGTATGTTTATTAAAATGTATTGTAACTGGATATTGTCTTGCATCAATATTAATAATTTTTGGTTTTAATTTAAATAAATGTCTATTATTAATAAATTCTTCAATACGCATTGTAGCTGACATAATAACAAGACGAAGTGGATCATTTCGTCGACAACGTATTGGTACAATACGTGATAATAAACCAATTAAAACATCAGTTGCAACACTACGTTCATGAGCTTCATCAATCAATATACAACTATAATTTGTTAATAAAAAATCATTTTGAACTTCTTTTAATAAAACTCCATCGGTCATAAATTTAATACATGTTGTTTCTTTTTTATATGTACCTTCATAACGTATTTGATATGATACTTGACTAGAAAAATAGAAAAATAATTTATTTAAAACTAATAATAATAATAAAAACTAACTCATTTGTTAAATTTAATTCATGTGCAACACGTAATGCCATTGATATAGCAGCAACACGTCGTGGTTCAGTTATACCAATCATTTTACCATCAAGAGTATAACCAGCTTCATAAAGAAATTGAGGTAATTGAGTTGTTTTACCACTACCTTAATAGAATGAAGAAAAAAAAAAAAAATCAAAATTCTTCAATTTTCTTGTTTTGATTTTTAATAAATGATATGATGTTTTATTTGGAACCTCGTTTTTTTTTTTTTGTTAAACATTCTCAGATAAAAATATGCAAATTTTATTTCTAAACTTTATTTGACACAGTTGCGAGCGCTCTTTAATTTTCTATATTCAATAGTGTTTATCACTACTTTCTTCATACTTTAAAACTGGTCCCTTTTCTTAGATCTAGATTATTTAAAATTCCAATGTGTTCAACACTATATTAAAGAACCAGTGATTATAAAAGTGAAATTTTCTCAAAAAATTTCATACGATCAAGCCTTATATGTTTCATACATAACATCTTTCTGAATAGGAGAAACTCATTGTCTTCTAGAATATGTACCGATAATCATCACAGCTCTCCTGATGAACTGCTATAAATAACTCATTTATAAGCGGGAAAATGTTTTTTTAATCCTCCGGAGCCCTGGAGGGGGTCTGTAATTTCTATTATTTTGTTTTCAAATATTTATTCAGAGTATCCAGATTTAATCTATGTCAGAAACTTGAGAAGAATCCGTAAATATTTTATATGCATTGCAAAAATAATAATTTTTCATATTCATGTACACGCCTTCAAGAGTCCGAAAGTCAAAAAATTCTTTTTTCATTTATAAAAATATGTTATTTATATCAGTTTGTAAAGAATAATTCATAATTGCATAAGTTTATCTTAGAAGATCCTACAAAATCACAATGTGTATGATTCATATACTATCGGATGTGCCAACAATGCTCTACGAAGTCACATATGTAGTATTCTAGTTCATCGAATCCAGAAAGAGGATCGTTTAATGCAAATTGAATATATCTAACTCAAGATCGTTTGTTGAGGTCGGGGGGAAGAGAAGGGCTTAATATAAATCTCTTTACCAGTTTCTCCACAAATAAGAACAACAAGATTATCATGAATAGCTTCCATAATAGCTTGTTCTTCAGTAATAATTGGTAATTGTGAACGTATTACTTGAATTTCTTCGCTACGTTCAACTTGAACATTAGCATGTGGTCGAGCTGGAATATCGACTTTTGTTTCTTCAACACTACTTGTACTACTTTGACGTTGTTGTCGTTTAATCGGAGGTGGAGGTATAGGTGCTGTTGTTGGTTGAGAAGGATGTAAGGCTTTACGAATCTCTTCATCATTAATAGTTTCATCATCATCTTCATTTGAACTTGTTTCTGAATCACTGAATAAAGTCAAAAAAAAATTACCTTATTATAAATGAAGATTTGTGACTAACTAACTTTTGAATTATTTCTGTAGATACTTGAGCTGGACGTTTTCTAGAACGTTGATTAAAATTAATTGAAGTAGAAGAATTTATTGTTGAAACTTGAGTATCAATCGGTTGACTGAATAAAAACAATAAAATAAAAAAAAAAAACTAATCTTTTAGATTTAAAAAAAAAAATTACCGTTTAGTTTTGCTACCAATATTTTTTACTGAATGAAGAAGAGCTAATTCATCATTCGAAATTTGTATTTGTCCTAATTTATCAAGTAATTCAACTCGCTATGAGAAAAAAATAAATAAATAAATGTTAAAATTAACATCAATTTATGAATTCTCTTTGTTTACTTTAGCTTTTTTCTTTTTAACATCAAGCACTTTTTCTAGACGTTTACGTTCTTTTTTTGATAATTTACGTTTGATAGATGTTGCTGTTTGACTAACAGAATGAGTTACTCGTTTTTTTGATGGTAAAATTGAATTATTGTCAGCTGTTGTTGTTTCTCCTTCAACAATAACCTGATTGAAATAAAAATTGTATGAAAAAAGAAAAAGTAAAAAAAAAAGAAACAAAATACATTTGTTGATGGATTTTGTTCAATAACAATTTTTTTTTGTTGACGACCTTTTTTATTAAAACGACGTGCTAAACGAGATGGTTTCATCTATAAATTAAATATGTCTATGCCATATGCTGAAATATCTTGAATTTTTTATTTTGTATCTTTTTTTTGTTTTTGTTTTATCTTTTCCTTGAAAAACAAAAAAATAAATCAAACACAAAGGCACAAACTTAAAAATACTGATGAAAGAACAAAAAACATAGATTTATCAATGGTCAGAAACGAAACAAACAATCATAGTTGTACATGAAACAAGAAAAAAAACAAAGCAATGAAAATAAAACAGAGGAATGAAATTATACAAAGTTTTTGTTTATTATCATCTGACATATTGATATTGATCAAACAATAGGAAACAATATTATATTATATAAAAACATTGTTTTTATTATCTATGGTTTTTTCACTGTATTTTCTGTAGCTTGAGCGATTGTTAATACTTTTTCACCGGCTCCTTTTGTTAATGTTGTTGTTGGAGTTGCTTTTGGTGAAGAACTCATTTGTATTGTTGATGATCCTTTGCCTTTAGTTTTTTGTCGTATTTGAATTTCGTCTACATGTTGACGCATTTCATCTTCTAATGAATCTATTGTTGGTTGATTACGCCAAAATGTAAATGATGAATATTCTTCACTTGCAGAAAATGCATCCATTGGAGGAAATACTTGATCAACTACTTCATGTAAATTTTTATATCTTTAAAAAAAACAGAAAACATTCAAAAAAATAAAGAAGAAGTTAAAGAAATTTTAACACATACGAAGTACATAATACTTGAGATAATTTTTGTCGAACAACTTCACCACGTGGATTAATTGTAAATATACGAGTTTCTGGTATTCCAACAGCTGTATATGCCCATTGATCCTTTACGAAAAAAAAAGATTCATAAAACAATATAAAACTTTGAAATATGTTATTCTTACATTTAATCGATTACCAAAACCTGCATAAAATGGATTTTTACCTGGAAATAAACTTGCTATGTTTTTTAAACATTCAATTTTAAAATCTTCGGGTGTTCTTGCAATTACTTCCCTATAAAAAAAAACACAAACGATTATTCAGTATAAAAAGTTCTGTGTTTTATTAAATAAACAAACCTATATAGCGCAGTAACTAATGTATCAGGTGATATAAGTAACGGACCAATAGGTAATGCAAAACCACATTGTTTTATATTGCGTATAAAATTTCTTGTTACACGACTTTGTCCAATAGCACGGGCAGATAAATAAATAAATTGATAACCATTGTCTTGAATAGCTTGAAAAAATTCTGCGATACCATCATGTGACCAATCTTTACCAAATAATGGAAATATATGACCAAAAACATCAGATCTTAAATAAATATATAAATGTTTTGTTATAAAATTATATTAATTTTTCTTTTTTTATAATAGAAATTTACTTTGTTATAGTACCATCAATATCTGATATAACAAATTTAGTATTATGATCATAAAAGAATATATTTGCTTCAACAACAGTTGTACCTTGTAAAGCTGTTGTAACACTAAATTCCATATGATTCATACCAGTTTTAAGATTAAGTCGTTTTAATTGATCAGATGTTAAAATCATAGTTTTCTTTTTTGTTGAAGTTATTTGTTGATTTTCCATTTTATTTGTTAAATTTCTTACTTCATGATCTTCTTGTCCACTATCATTACTATGCATAGGAAAAAAAACTGATATAAACTAATAATATAAAATAAAATAACATACGAATTCTTTCGATTAGAATTATCATTTTGTAATATAGTTGGAACAATTTCAGATTTAACAACAACAGCCAATGCTTGTGATGATGCTGATGGAATATTTTCATTTTTTGTGTTAGACGACTATTCGACATTAATATAGGAAAAAAACAATGTTTTTTCCAAATATAAAATTTTATATTTACACTTTTGCCAGAAAATGGCCATAAACTAATACCACCTGTTGTACGTGATGTAGTTGATGTCATATGTTTTTTTTGTAATTGTTCAATTGTTTCAGGTGGTAATTGTTTATGATAGACACTAGCCGAAGCAATAAGTGCTGAAGCTACACTCCAATTATGATATCTAAAAAATAGAAATCAATTATTTGAACAAAAAAATTTTGTTTTTTTATTTTCTATGTTCATTATTACATACTTTCCACCAATACGTACAACTAAATTTGGATCATTAATAATTGATGGATTATTAGCAAATTTTTCATATGAAATAAGATGTGCATTAAATAAATCATCTGTTATTAATGATGGTTTATCAATATTTCCACATAATGAAAGTTGTACATCACCGAGAAGATAACTAAAATAAAATGAAATTTATTCAAAACAAAAAAAAACAACTACATATTTCATCTTTTTGATATTTAAAATTACAAAAAAAAAAAAAAAATTTTTTTTTTTACATACAAAGTTTCATAATCTCGAACTGGAGAATTTGGTATTGAATTTCCTGTTCCAGATTCTTCATCATCATCATTTGGAGTTCTTGATTGATTAAGATGATAATCCCTTATTTAAATTAAATACATATATATATATATATATATGAAAATAAAATAAACTTACATTTGAGGTAAATACCGTGAACGATCATCACATTTATTATTTGTTATATCATCAAGATATATTCCTTCTTTAGGTGTATTTGGTTTTGGTGATGAAGATGATGGCCAAAAATATCTAAATACACTTCGTCTTTGTTCAGGAAGTTCACCCCATTTCCATCGCCATGCAGAATTTCTTCGACTATTTCTTACTGATTGTTGTGATGATTTATCTAATTCATATTCTGTATCAGATTGTGGACTTGCTGGTCGAAGAGATATAGGACTTTAAAAAAACAAACAAACATTATATTACTTTTTTAAAATTAAATACAAAAAAAAAAACAAACTATTATTTACTTTTCAAATGCTGATGTTGGTGAAAAATCTTCATTTAAATAAAATGGTGCTGAATCAGTTGATTGAGTCAGTCGAATAGGAACAGTAGCATCATCATTTGCTATTGGTGCTGATTGAGAAAAAATTGTATTCATTATTGAATTTGATTCTTCAGTTATTGGTAATGAATCATTTAATATTGGTTTTGGTTCAATTGCTATTGGATTTGATAATGTTCTTGTATGTCTTTCATCATTTTCATCTTGATCATCATCTTCTAAACTACTACTATAATTTTCTTCATCATCATTATCTATACCATTTGACATTTTCGGTGGAATAATTAATAATTTTTTTCGACTATCAATACTATTCATTCGACTATGTGCATCAACAAATGGTGTAGATGATTCGGATTGTTTTTCATCATCAATTTGAAATAAAAGCATATCAGTTTCACTTGCACTATGTTTACGTGAAAGTTTTAATGATGTATTTATTTTTTCATCATTTCTATGATCAGTTAATTTCTCATTCATAGATATAGAAGTTGAAGCACGTTGACGTAAATGTGAAGAATCTTGTTTTGATGAAAATATTTTTTCAACTTCTTCATCGTCATCTTCATTTAAATCTTTATTTATTTGTTCATTACGATTTGATATACGTCGTTTTGAACGACGACGATTTGATATAGATACATTAGAATTTAATACATCAACATTAACAGATGGTATTGATGGATGTTCATAAGCATATTTTGGTGTTGTTTCATTATTTTCATGTGCTTTTTCTTCATCAAGTTGTTTATTAATGATTTGTGGTGAACAATCAATATTTGATAATTGAGGATGAGAATCTGTTAATATAGCACTATCAGGATCAAGAAATATATTACTATCTGATGGTTCTAAATGACGACTTGGTGAAAGATTTTGTGTAGTCTAAAACAAAAAAATGATCTAATTTTAATTTAAAAAATAAAAAATTTAAAAGATTTTATTTTACAGTTTCTTCTTCAACAAATAGAGCTTCACCAGCTGGACCTAATTCCATATATAAATCTTCAATTGGATTACCATTGATAGTTATATATACCTTTAGAACAAAATTTAAATAATTTAATTAAATATTTATGTTTTTTACCTTATTTTGTTGATTCCGTAGAACACCTAATTTACCAAAACGAACATGAAATGGAGTACATCGAAGTGTTCCATCTTCTTGTTTAACAACAATAATATCAATTGCACCAGTAAGTGTGGACGGATTAATATTGTTGTAAACCGATTTAATCGAACCAAAAATACGATAAAATGAAGTCATGTTGACTATATTCTATTTTTAATAAAAATATACCATTTATATATGGTACTAAAACGAAAAATTAAATAAGTATAATAATAATAGTAACTTGTTTTTTGTAAACACTAACAAAAAAAAAAAAGGTAGCAATAAAAAAAAACGATTATAATATAGATGACAATAACGTTTATACGATACAATTATTCATTAGTACACAAAGCATATTTCTTACTACATACATTTGTTTTTCATCTTTCTCCTTCGTGGGAGTCAGCAAAGAAAATACTACAAAAAAAGAAGTATTAGTAGTCCCTTCATTTACGCTATCTACGAGTGCAAATATATATAAAAAAAAAAGAATGGGTATGCTAGAGGTTTGCATGTAGATGTATTACATATAAACGTCTACGATCGATTACATGATTAGTAATGGCGTCATTGCTTTTGTAGTTAAGAAGAAAGGAAAAAGAACGGAAAAAGAAAAATAGTAAAAAATGTTCTGTGCGTCAGCCGGCACACCCCTCGCTCTTTATTATTGTTTTCGTTTTCTGATAGTATGAATAAAACTCGTGACTTATGGCGGTCAAATGTACCTCGTGATTTTATATGCTATCAAGAGGTATAGATATGATGGCGTGATGCGTAAAAGAAAAAGTGCACATTAAATATCGAAGGAAAAAAGTGCACACATGTTTTCTATCAAGGTACCTGAATGTCCTTGGTAATTCTGCAATTAAAAAAAAAAACAACTACCTATACAAATAATAGTTGAAGATTACGGATGTTCATTTACAATAGATTACTGTTTATACGAAAACAAAAAAAGAAAATATATATATATCTTTTGTTATTTAACATCTATGTCTTATCACAATAGTGTAGTATTTACATTCGATGATTACAATAACCTGTGCTGTTTTTTTTTCCAGACCCTTGATGATAAAAAAAAAAAAGAACTAGATTATATGATATTAAATATTGTCCAAACATTGAAAACGAATATGAGGGACATTTTTGCTTTTGAATCAATGCAGAGAAAGCGAATAAAAGTGTCTAAGGGATTTTTTTTTGTTTATGGGAAAAAAACCATACATTACATAAATATCGTTGTTCACCTGTATACATCACATATTTAATAATTATAGTAGTATAGAACTTGAAAGTTAAATTCAATGGAAATAATTTGAAATTTCAAGTTGTATTAGATAAGAACAATACTAGCCACTCCCTCTTACTGTCTTCTCACGTTTTCACTCGATTTCTAAAGGTAATGAAGAAGAGAACATTAAGAATGTGGAGGTTATTTTTCTTTTTCGCCACAAATTAATCCATGTCAAAATAAAAAAAATAAGAACAAACATGTTTTGTTTATCAAATTATAAACAAGTGTAAATATCGTTTTATTTTTTTCAAAAGTATAAAATATTAATCTATATAACAATAGTTTATATCAATTAAATCAAATAAATCGAAAGTATTTTGTATTTTTTTTAAAAAGAAAAATATCAATAATAGTATGACTTTTTATAGAATCGAACTTATATATTACAATAACGTTAACAGGTTTGTTTATTTGTCGGACAAACATAACCATTTATAGTAATGCTAAATAGTATGTGACGACTTATATCTTACTATCAATAACAGAAAACGTTATCGTTGATATACGTCTTATTTATTATTACGCATAAAAGAAAGTTATTTTATATGTTAAGTAAACAAGAATACAATATTAAATGGTTGTTTTTGATTTTCATATAACTTTTAAAAAATTTATTTCCTCAATCATTTTGATTAGATATTTTATTTAATTATAAAATAGCAAGAGAATATTAATAAAATATGTTTATTTAAATATAGATATATAGGTTATTTGGTATTTTACGATGTTAGATGATTAATATGATGCTCGATGTTTTTATAAATACAAATTTTTATAATTTCAACCAAACTATGATAGATATTCTAGTGAGTAATAAAAGAATGATGATTGAATGAATAAAATTAAAATAAATTTTCTCATAGTATTCAAAACATTTAATTATATTATTCATCAATATAACGTCATGAATTTCATAATTATTTAGGCGTTACGAATAGTACAATATTTATATGATTAGATTTTGTTATATAATGGATGTATTTCTAGATCAACTTAGTTTCTTATTCACCATATCGAATTTTATTATGTATTAATCTAATAAAATTATTCAACAATCAAGATTAATACAGAAAATTTATTGAAAATAAAAAAAAAAAATTCAATTATTTTAAGATCGAAAAATTGTTAGCTAATCTATGAAAATTTAAATTTCTTCTTACCGATGTTTACAAATTATTCTATTCATTGTTAATTATTGTAATAGATGAAAAACAATAATATCAATATATCTATAAAAAAAAAACAATTCTTCAAATTACAATTTATTTTTAATTAAATCAAAAGAAGACAAATTACAATTTAAATTAATCATAAAGATTTTAAAAAAATCGAAAAATCACTCGCATTTATTTTTTTTTTAATGATTCATAAAGAACAATTGCTGCTGCAAGATCTTCAATAGCAATGCCAACAGATTTAAAAATTGTTATTTTTTCATTAGATATATCATAACAAAATTTATCATTTTGAATTAATTCTCCTAATTCAGCTATAATTTTAGCCTAAATTAAAATCATAAATCAAATTTTATTATACAAAAAAAATAAAAAAAATCAAACATTTGATTGAATTATTTCGCCTGCTTCTTTCATTGCACTTTCTTTACTATCAACAATAACACTTGTATCTGATGATAACATAAGATCATCAGCTAATTCACGCATTGTTGCACGAAATGAACCAACAGCTAAAGAACAATAACAAAAAAATTTTAAATCATTTTCAAAATTTCTTTCATCAGAAAAGTTAACTATTCGAAATTTCTCGACAGTCGGATAGTTTTTGCAATGGACTTTAATTTTCAAAAGATCTTCCATCTGAAGAATATGAATTTATATTCTATGGAAACTTTTGTAGCTTTATAACACGAAAATTAATTTTATATTAATTTCTTTAGTGTTGAATTCATTGCACATATTTGGGGTGTGGCCTGTGGATAAGATAGAGGTCTCGCTCTATCCCACATCTACGTATAAGGAATTATGACCACAACTTTGACATGATATTTACATATAAGAATAGTATGACATTTACGCCATCTAATAAAGCTTGACGAATATATGAATATAAACGTCGTAATTCTTTTATATTATATAGCAGACAGAGATAGGTAGATCGCAAAATTTAATTAGCAATTGGTTTTTTGAATACAAATTTGAGAATTTTTCGAAAAAAAACTTCTTTTTTTTTTTTATAAAACCAATGCAGAGATATTTAAAAAATCGAGACTATCCTGATATGTTAGTTTGTATCCTTATTTTGAAAATTTTGTCCATTAAAAAGATACTTTTGATCCATAAATTGAAATCGGATAGACAGTAAAAAGTTTATTTTCGAGAGTCAATACCCTCATAAAAAAGTAATTGTGAGCAAATTTATCGATCTTGTGACTTATAGCTTGTTAGATAGATTAAAATGTGTCTAGTCTCGAATACACTATAGTTTATTGATTTTATAATGACACTTAAAGATATCACATAGAAGAAAATAACGCACTTATTTTTTTCAAAAAGATTTGAGTTTTTACAATCTTTCAACTTTCTCTTTTGACTCTTGGCAGTGATGAATGAAGCAATCATACATCGTTAAGTATGATGAATGTATAAAAAAACTCGAACATGCAAAGCTATATTATGAAATGAAATTACTAAACACTAATTAATAACTAAATCAATATTGACAAAGCAAATAACTAAATATTTTTCACTATTATTCTACCAATATGAAATAGGCTATGAATCACTGTTTACTATTTTGATTTTTATTCATATTTCAATGAATAAAATGTGTCGACATGAAAATAAGCAAAAAATTCTTTTGTAAATCTTGACATGTGTTCCATTGACTTATTTTGCGTCTTTCTCGCACTAGAATCTTTAATTTTAACGTTTCCGTACATCTTAGATTTCTTCGCTGTTTGAAATGCTCGACAACTGGACTTTTTACAAAAAAATGAAGATAAAAATCTGTTCTATAATTTTTCTATACTTTTGATCGTATAGATACCACAAAAAAAAAGGATTGTTAGGTTATTTAATAGAACTAGAAAGTATATGTTCTATTAATTTATTAGAATATAGAAATCTAATGAATAATAATGTTAAAGCAAAGTCTCAAACTACAGTCTATTAATTGATTTCAATAAATATATTTAAATGAATATTATATCAAATCATTGATTATCACAATAAATAGATGTTTACAAGAACATGATTAGAAAAATTCATATTCTGATTAAATATACAATACTGAACAAAATTTGATGAAAAGTCTAGAATGATTTGGTTTTTTTTGACCTTCATTGTTGACATATGAAAATCTTATTTTTTTTCAACAAAAAGTAATTTTTGAATTTCGAATTGAAATTTTCCATTAAGAAAATTCTTAATGGGATTAGAGCAAATTTTGTTTATGTATTTACATCTTTAGAAAAGGAAATACTAATTGCACAATTCATTAAGCTTATTATGAGTTTTTTTTTTGTTGAAAAGTCCAGAAAATGATATCATTCTGAATTCTAATATTACTCATGAAATGAACATCATATCAGTCGAAAAATAATTTAAAACTCGGAGAAAATTCTTCTAATGGTAAATAGCTTGTGTTTTCAATTTTTGAAAAACCACTTTCTGAAATATTTTCAATATACTTCGAATGTAATATTTGGAAATAAAAATAATTTATTATAAAGAGTTTAAGGGTACCCCCCCCCCTCTTTTTTGACACTTTCTAGTTCTCGAAGACGGTACAACCGATCAAGCTCAAATTTTCAGCACAGATAGAGCATCAAAAATAACGAGATACATGTTCGAGGAAAAAAAATTTAAAATAGGTTTTTATGGAGTTTTTTTGAAAACTC